TTTAAGGGTAAACCTTCTGGGGCCTGAAGGCTAAAACATTTATTATGGCTTCACTTTAAAGAGGCAGTTTAGCTGGCTACAAAAACTCATCAGCTAAGGTTAGACATTTCAGCTAGGGTTGAAATTCTCTTCCTTAAATACTTAAATATTGCTCCATGGTCTTTTCACCTGTGTCACTTTTGAAAGTTTTAAGTCAATCGGGAATGGGGGCTCATGCCTGTAATCCCAGCATTTTGGGAGGCCAAGGCAGGTGGATCACCTGAGGTCAGGAGTTTGAGACCAGCCTGGCCAACATGGCGAAACTGGTCTCCACTAAAAATACAAAATTTAGTTGGGTGTGGTGGCAAGGGCCTGTAATCACAGCTACTTGGGAGGCTGAGACAGGAGAATCACTTGAACCCAGGAGGTAAAGGTTGCAGTGAGCCGAGAGGGTACCATTGCACTCCAGCCTGGGCAACAAGAGCAAGACTCCATCTCAAAAAATTTTTTTAAGTGAGTCTGAGTGTTGGTCCTTTGTGACTATTGGATTCTGCCTCAGAGCTATTCGAATTTTCTATTTGTAGAGAATGTGTCTGGTTAGAGTCTCTCCTAATCTGCTTGGCAGTGGTGTGAGCCATTTCATTCTGAAGTTCCCGTCTTTAATTCTGAGAGACTCCAGCTTCTGATTTCTCTGAAGAGTCCTTCCCGCCCCTTCCTTTTCTCTTTCCCCGAGCTCCTGTTGCACTGACCTGGACACATCGGCATCTCTTGTGCTGTACATTTCCCATCTCCTCATTACTTTTCACCTCTCCCAGGAGAGTTCCACAGTCTCTCCTCCCACCTCTCTGCTGCTTTCCCTCCTGCCAGTTACCCTATCTCCTGAGTTCTTGAACATAACTTCTCTATTTTTCACACCTGTTATTTACACTCGGTTCTTCTGTAAAACTGAGTATTCCTTAGTTTCCAGTAGTCTTTATCTATGAATTTTATCTCAAATAATTGAGTTGGTATATTTGGGGCCTGTAAACTCACTTTTTCCTGGAATGTCAGCCCCCCTTTCTGAATTGTTTGGGGAGGGGCTGAAATCCATGCTTTTAGATGCTGAGGGTCTACGCGGCCGCAAACTAGATCACCTTTCGGGGGTACCGCCTTCCCTCCCCCTCAAGGAATCATGCTGCAAAGAGAGGAATGGAGCCCGAGGACAAAGGAATGACCTTGTCCCTCAAGGAATGTCTCATTACCTCCCTGGCTCTGATCTCCTCCAAGTCCCTCCTATTGGACTGAAGCTGTTTAGTCCTTGATGTGTGGAACTTCAGTCTTAGCTAAAGAGTTTTGTATCCAGCTACTGTCTCTTTGAAGTGAGGCTATGGCCAGGCACAGTGGCTTGCACCTGTTACCCCAGCACTTTGCAAGGCCAAAGCAGGAGGATTGCTTGAGGCTAGGAGTTCAAGACCAGCCTGGCCAACATACCTGAGACCTCATCTCTTAAAATAATGATAATAATAATAATAAATTAAAATAAAAGTGAGGGGTTGGGCACAGTGGCTCATGCCTGTAATCCCAACACTTTGGGAGGTAGATTGCTTGAGCCCCGGAGTTCAAGACCAGCCTGGGCAACATGGCAAAACCCCATCTCTACCAAAAGAAATAAATAAAAGTGAGGCTGCAATAAAATTTTTAGCCTTTTTAAAAATTTTTTTGACAGGGTCTTGCTCTGCCACCCACATCGGAGTGCAGTGGAGCTACCATAGCTCACTGTAGCCTCTAACTCCTGGGCTCAAGCAATCCTCCAACCTCAGCCTCCCAAATAGCTGGGACTATAGGTGTGTGTCACTGCACCCGGCTAATTTTTTTTTCTTAATTTGAAGAGACAGGGTCTCACTGTGTTGCCCAGGCTGGTCTTAAACTCCTGGACTCAAACAGTTTTCCTTCCTTGGTCTCCCAAAGTGCTAGGATTAAAGGTATGATCCACCACACTTGACCTTTTTAGCCTTTAGAAGAACATTTATCCATAAACATTCTTAAGAAGGCATGCCAAAGGCCGGGCACGGTGGCTCAGGCCTTTAATCCCAGCACTTTGGGAGGCCGAGGCAGGTGGACCATCCTGGCCAACATGGTGAAACCCCGTCTCTACTAAAAATACAAAAAAAATTAGCCGGGTTTGGTGGTATGTGCCTGTAATCCCAGCTATTCAAGAGGCTGGGGCAAAAAAATCGCTTGAACCGGGAGGTGGAGGTCTCAGTGAGCCGAGGTTTTGACATTGGACTCCATCCTGGTGACAGAGCAAGACTCCATCTCAAAAAAAAAAAAAAAAAGAGGCATGCCAATACGAAGAGAAATAAATCAGGGGGCTACAAAGGGGAGGAGGAAAGCCTCGGGCTCCACCAGTCAATGGGCAGCTCAGTTCTCTGCTTTTCCCTTCAGCCAGGCTCTGATGGGCTTGCGAGGGACCCCCTGAACCCGCACCTCTGGGCTGGGAGTGGCAGACTAAAGAGGCAAAGTGGCAGGGGAACAAAGATCTCTCCCTAGCCGTCCCCTCTGCCAAGCCCCTCCCCCTGCTCAGGGCTGCCACCCCCAGTCCAGGTAACATTGTCCTGGCTACACCTTTCTGGTTACTAGGTCTTTAAAGTAGTCTTCTCTTGCTTCTGTGCCAGCTCCCAGTTAGGGCTAGTTCGCCATTTTGCCTAACATTCATCTATTTGTGACTCATCAGAAAATGCACAAAGCTTTAAAGACTTTAGAAGTTAGATATAAGCCAGGCTCAGTGGCTGATGCCTATAATCCAACACTTTGGGAGGCCAAGGCAGGAGGATCACTTGAGCCTAGGAGTTCAAAACCATCTTGGGCCACTAAGGGAAACCCTGTCTCTACAAATAGTTAAAAAATTAGGCCAGGTGTGGTGATTCAAATCTGTAAGCCTAGCACTTTGGGAGGCTGAGGTGGGTGGATCAACTGAGGTTGGGAGTTCAAGAGCAGCCTGGCCAACATGATGAAACTCCATCTCTACTAAAAATACAATAAATTAGCCAGGGCGTGGTGGCATGCACCTGTAATCCCAGCTACTTGGGAGGCTGAGGCACGAGAATCACTTGAACCTGGGAGGCAGAGGTTACAGTGAGCCAAGATTTCACAACTACACTCCAGCCTAGGTGACAGAGTGAGATTCTGTCACACACACATTAAAAAAAAACTGTAGTGGCATGCACCAGTAGTTCCAGCTACTCAGGGAGCTGAATGGGGAAAATTACTTGAGCCCAGGAAGTCGAGGCTGCAGTAAGCCATGATCGCACCCCTGCACTCCAGCCTGGGCAACAAAGCGAGACCCCGTCTCAAAAACAAATTGAATATAAAATTTCTGTCCAGCCAGCTCTCTTTGCAGCATGATTTATATTCATGTGTAAGACCCAAGTCTCATCTTTCCTCATGAGGTGTGAGTAAGGGTCATTTTATAAATCAACATTAGTATCACTAGGCTCTATTCATTAAGGACTCTGTCCGGACATAACCTGCTGAGGGAGGTACTGTTCTTATCCCCATTTTATAGATGAGGATATTAAGGCTAAGAGCAGTCACGGAATTGACCCAGATTCTCACAGCTTGAAAGGAGCAGAGCTGGGATTCTAATCAGTTTGTCTCCAAGTCTCTGCTTTTCCATCCCTCGGCCTCCTAGAGCCTTAGGAGATGGCCAGTAGGGGGTGGGTAAGAATCTCACATCCCAAGGTGTATTTGAAGCACACAGAAACCAGTCTTAGGAATTCAAAGTACCTTATGGCAAATATGGCATCATAATTCTAATTTTACCCATGATGATAGTGTTACCGAGAGGACACACCGTCAAGCTGACAATGGCAACATAAAATCTTCCTCTCCCAGCCCCATTTCAGTATACTTAAATTAATAAATTACATGCCGCCTCTTTTTTATGTGATTATTGCTTCAAAATCAGCTGATTCATGGGTTCTCTCCTTCTCAATTCAATTATGGCGTCTTTGCTTTCTGAATTGCCTAGGAGTATAATTATCATAACAATTTTCCTTCCTATTTCAAGCCTAAATTGAAGCTGTATTATATACAATTGGTATTGCTTTTCCTCCTACATTTTACATTATTATCAGCAATTATTTCTGATGTTCAGCCTGCTCTCTAACTGCACAGTATTCCATGATACTTCGGCCTTACAAGTAAAAATGACTTCTGAGCAGGTGGGCATCATGGAGAGGGCAGTGGGGAAGGAAAGACTGATGAGGATGGACTTGCCCTGGTGTGCTTATCTCATTTTTGGAACAGATATTATAAGGAAATGTATTTTATTGTTTTGGGGGCAGGGTCTCGCTCTGTTGCCCAGGCTGGAGTGCAATGGCATGATCTCGGCTCACTGCAACCTCTGCCTCCCAGGTTCAAGAATTTCTCATTCTCGAACTTCAGCCTCCCAAGTAGCTAGTATTACAGGTATGTGCCACCACTCCTGGCCAATTTTTGTATTTTTAGTAGAGTCAGGGTTTCACCATGTTGGCCAGGCTGGTCTCAAACTCCTGACCTCAGGTGATCTCAGAATTCCAAAGGGATTACAGGCGTAAGCCACTGCAGCCCGTCAGAAATTTATATCTACAACTGGATAAGTAGTACTTTGAAACAATGGTAGATTATGTTGGACTATATTAGCCATCCTAACCAAGGTGCAGAATCCTTCCACGGGAGCCTAAGTAACTAGTTTCACTAACTATAAAATTGGAATTCAATTTAGAAAAACTAGGTTATGCATACATTAGGAAACTTCTGATTTGGAACAGATCTAACATGACAAATCTTTTATACCTCTTTCTCTCCTGAATAAAGAGAAACTTGAGAATGGCAGATTTCCTCAGTCTGTATCAATTAGGGGGAAAAAAAGCTTATTGCATATTAGAGACAAAATGGCTTTTACTCCTGCAACAGATCTATTAAATCTTCAGTACTGAAAATGTGTTCATTTTGCCTTTCCCTCCACATTTTTTCTCTTATCATTTTGTTTTGTTTTGCAGATTCAAGATGATTGGAAGTATGTTGCCATGGTGATTGATCGCATTTTTCTGTGGGTTTTCACCCTGGTGTGCATTCTAGGGACAGCCGGGTTGTTTCTGCAACCCCTGATGGCCAGGGAAGATGCATAAGCATTAAGCTGTGTGCCTGCCTGGGAGACTTCCTCGCGTCCAGCCAGGAGGAGGCTGCTTCTTAGTAGGAATATACTTTCTGTTTTCATGCTACCAGCTTTGTTTATGGCATCTCAAGATTTACTTATTTTCCAGTTGTCTTGGTTTTTGTCAAAAAAAGAATCATGCAGAAAAAACGTCGAGTATTTATTATGGATAAATGAACATTTAGCCTTTTTAATATAGTAAAGAGATGTCAAAATGTGATTCTTGTATGTGATACATAGTATGCTGTGCTGTGGAACATACATATAAAAATGCTTCCTTTTTTTAGTTGTTGAGAGGTAACTGGATAGAAAAATGCTGTTCAGAAATATGAAAAGTCATTCAGCTCAGTATCACTACATATCGCCCAGTGATTTTTCTTAGTTAGCTCATAATCTCTTTGAAGTTGTATACTAATTCAGCAATCCCCCACTATTACCCATTTCTTACAATGCACTTCTCATTCTTTTCTGGGTCTAAAGGCTGTGCTTCCATTTCAGAGAGCTTCAGCTATTTCTCTTGCATAATTCTAAATTATACAATGATAAATCATGCCTAATTATTATTAGTAAATTGTCTTAGTGCACCATAAACTGGGTGGCTTATAAACAGAAATTTCTTTCTTAGTTTGGGAGGTTGGGAGGTCCAAAGTCAAGGCATCAGCAATTTGGTGTCTGGTGAGGGTCCTCTTCCCCAGAGGGTGCCTTCTGGCTGTGTCCTAGCTCTGTGGGGTCTATTTTAGAAAGGCACTAACCTCATTCATGAGGGCAGAGCCCCCATGGCCTAATCACCTCTCCACGGCCCCACCTTCTTTTTTTTTTTAAATTTTTTATTGCATTTTAGGTTTTGGGGTACATGTGCAGAACATGCAAGACAGTTGCATAGGTACACACATGGCAGTGTGTTTTGCTTCCTTTCGCCCCTTCACCCACATTTGGCATTTCTCCCCAGGTTATCCCCCCCCCAGTTCCCCCCCTGCTGGCCCTCCCCTTTTCCCCCCAATGGACCCCAGTGTTTAGTACTCCCCTCCCTGTGTCCATGTGTTCTCATTTTTCATCACCCGCCTATGAGTGAGAATATGCAGTATTTCATTTTCTGTTCTTGTGTCAGTTTGCTGAGAATGATGTTCTCCAGATTCATCCATGTCCCTACAAAACCCACCTTCTATCTAAGACAATCACACTGGATTAGGTTGCAACATATGAATTTGGGGAGGACACATTCGGACCACAGCATGAACCTTTAGAACAGGGGTTCTCAGCCTTAGCACGATGGACATTTTGGGCTGGATAAGTACGTGTTGGGACAAAGTGGGGGTATCCTAGCAGTACCATGGCCTCTACCCACTAGATGCCAGTAACATACCCTGCTTCTTCACCAGTTATGATAACCAAGAATGTCTCCATTGTTAAATGGAGGCATTTTTGCCCCTGGTTGAGAAACATTGCTTTAGACAAATTATTAAGAAAGAATATCACATACTACGCTTCTGAATCTTAACATGATTATTATCACTGACACAGATGATGATTCACAGAGACTGTTTGAATCTTGTCTCACTAGTTGTGTTTTTCCTATGCAAAAATAAAATGGACAGAATTGCAACCCACTGTGACTCATGTTTCAATAAGTCAAAAGGAAGATGTCAACAAAATTTATTTACGTAGACCGGGTGCGGTGGCTCATGCCTGTAATCCCAGTACTTTGGGAGACCAAGGCAGGCGGATCACAAGGTCAGGAGTTCAAGACTAGCCTGACCAATATGGTGAAACCCCATCTCTACCAAAAATACAAAAAAAAAAAAAATTAACCAGGCATGGTGGCGTGCACCTGTAATCCCAGCTACTCTGGAGGCTGAGGCAGGAGAACTGCTTGAACCCAGAAGGCGGAAGTTGCAATGAGCTGAGATCATGCCACTGCACTCCAGGCTGGGTGACAAAGTGAGACCTTGTCTCAAAAAAAATTTATGTCTAAAAATCTGAAGTCACAGCAATGGGAGTGTAAGAAGGGTCAGGGATATCTACAAGCTAAGGTAGCAATTTAAATTCATCACACGAGGCTCTCACTCATTAAATGGCATTAAACACCTGCCTACAATAAAATGCAAACTAGACAGAGTCTCCGCTGCCTTCCAGAGTGTTGGCTTGAACTTAGATAGGTTACTTACTACAAATAAATAAGGTGTTTGTTATCTCAACAGCTAACAGTTCTAAATTGAATGCAAGGTTTCTGTCTGTTTTCTACCTGGTCACGCCTGAAGTGGTGGCATTTAGATGTGAAATTTAACCGTTACATCTGTGTTACATTACACTATACTGAATCATTTATGCTGTACTAGTAATAGGCTATTGATTACATCTAAAAGCCCTTGCAACTCTAAGATTCTATTATTATGTTAGAATGGAGAGAAAATTGAAATATTACAGGTATATAACAGTGTGATTATACCAAATTAGAGTACCATCTTTAATCTTGGAAGATTGTTTTCTCACAGAATGCTTTAGACCTGAATGTTTTTTTTATTTATTTTATTTTTTGAGATGGCATTTCACTCTTGTTGTCCAGGCTGGAGTACAATGGTGCAATCTCAGCTCACTGCAACCTCCCACCTCCTGAGTTCCAGCAATTCTCCTGCCGCAGTCTCCTGAGTAGCTGGGACTACAGGCACCCAATACCACACCTGGCTAATTTTTTGTATTTTTAGTAGAAACGGGGTTTCACCATGTTGGCCAGGCTGGTCTCGAACTCCTAATCTCAGGTGATCCATCTGCCTCGGCTTTCCAAAGTGCTGGGATTACAGATGTGAGCCATTGTGCCCAGCCCTAAATATGTCTTTCTAAATGGGTTGATGTAATTGTAGTGGACTGACTGTTCTAAGATCATGGATAAAGAGATACTACCACAGTTTACATGGAAGATGGTTCTATTAATCATAGGAAATGTGGACCAGAGGATTTACATTAATGTTAAGGCTATGCTACTGGGTGTCCACAGGAATTGTCTAATGTATGACTTTACAGTGGAAGGTGAGCTACAAAAAGTTAACACAATAATTATTCAGTTTAAGCATCTAAAGAATAAAGTAAGCCTTAAGGGAGTTCCCGGTTCCTGTTTTTCATTTATTTTTAAAATGTTGGTTATGGAAAAGCAGCATCACATTAAGTAATTATTATATCAAATAGTCAGCTTTTTAAATATAGCAGTATAATATTAAAGATTAGCTGTTACTCAGTGAGTACAGGGAAGTGTATGTACCTTTACCAAATGCAGAAACGTTGTAAAATCAGTCTTCAAATACAACTGGAATTTTCCAGCACAGTCAAAGGATGAGCTTTACTGTTGATTGTAAATTAGCATCCTTCGCCAGGATACAAATACTAGATTTTTCACTAGTACAGTTTGGATAATATTTTGCTAGTTTTAGAAGATCAAATGTTACCTCATCAGTTATTCATTCTAATGGATCATCTATTAACACATGTTGAGGTTAGCAACTATTAATCTGTTAAAGCTCGCACCAAGTTTAACACATAACTTACATTTTCATAATTTTGTAGACGCCATAAGATATATGTGTGTGAACTAAATATACACTTCAGTCCCTTGGGAGGCTTCACTTATTTGCAGTTCCGATATGAACTGGTATTATTATATTTGCCCATTTATAAATTACAGGAGCAAAAAGCCCAAGAGATCCAACAATTGAAACGAAAAGAAAAGTCCACAGAAACATCCGATCAAGAACCTGGGCTATGAATTTCCAGTCTTCAACAACCTGTTATGAAAAAAAAAAAACACATTAAACAATTGTAAATTGTGTACATATTTTAAGATGTAACAAACACACTGAGTTAGAAGCCAAACAGCCTCTGCCCCCCATTACTGCCTCTAACTGGGAAGTGACCCTATACTCGGTTCAGGGACAGACACTAGCCTGATGGTCTATTATAGATATAAGCTTTAAAAGAGACTACAAAATATGTTCACATCAACTTGTAATCTATTACAAGTGGTCTAGTTTGATAGATTTGAAAATAAAACTTAAAATAGACTACTTGGATATTTTACAATAAACTAAAAAAAGTATTCTTATTATGCAGTTATTCTTGCTACTCATTCTTGTCCAGTAGTGTTTACTTATTTTAATATTTTGAGAGACTCTAGCCTGAGGTTAATTTCATGCCAAATTAAAAGTTCATTCAGAATAATGCACATTAGAAAGCTGTTCATCTTCCCCACATATGCACTTTATTATTTTTGAATTTCCTAGGGACCACTTCAGTCTAATTTCATGAGCACAGACCGGTCTTCCCTGGAGCCAGCTTTAGTAGGGAGCTGGTTCAGCCGGTCAGAGCCACCAGAAGGAAACAGGAGGCTGAGCCCGGCCACTGAGCAGCAGGGCCCCCCTTTCTACAGGGCCATTTCTTTGACCAGGGGTGAGCTTCTGTGAAGGATGGTGTCCTCTATAGGAACCGTGCTTCAAGGGGTAGGATAATTTAGAATTTAGAGCATTGCAAACACTCTATTACTTCTCTGCTTCCAAGTTTTCCTCTGAAAATAAATCCCACCTCCCTGGTCCTAGTAGTATGAGCCATGACCCTTTTGCACGATACTTTGCAGACATTTATTAAATTTCATCTCAGTTTAAACCATTATCTAACAAATACATGTACTTTCAAAAACTTCATTGATAGCTCCAAACCTTATAAACTAATTTAATTATGCTACCACCAAATAGAAACTTTATAAATCCAGAGCATTAAAAGTTTTCATGATGGATGCACCAAAGTCTCAGCAGTCACCATGAAAAGAACTTATGCAAGTGAACAAATACCACATGTTTTCCAAAAACCTACTGAAATAAATAAATAGTATAATAAGGAAGGAATGCCTTATTGAAATTAAATCATTCAAATATGAGCAAAAATAAAAAGTTTTAAAAAATATATACATCAAATGCCCCTTTTGGGGGAAAGGCTATTTTGCCAAATTCATTCTATCTCCTCATACCTAATGGAAAATTTTCCATTTAAAATAGCTTTACAAATTATGATTAACATAATTTTAATGTACATTCAATTATGAAAATATTACTATAGTCACAGGTTTAAAATAATACACCATAGAAAGAAAGCAGTGACAAGTCTGAAATCTTACACATTTTAAAAGAAAATGCAGGCCAATATGATTGCCTTAGTAAAATTAAAATGTATTCATGTTCAATTCCTGCATTTTAAATATTAACCTTAAGGGACAGTTATTTTTCTATAAAAAAGTTTTTAAGCAGATGTTTGATTTTAGGCAAATTAAGCACAGTAAACACTACTACTAAGCTTCATATGAATCCTCCAATGTATCATACATAACACATAATAACACCTTCTCTTATTTTCCCTAACATTCTCTGGTAAATGAACAAAAAGATTCATTTTAGAAAAATATATTGGCTATATTTATAAATCTCACATTAAGCTCATTCTTTAAAAGAACTTTTTTTTTTTTTTTTTTTTGAGATGGAGCCTCACTCTGTCACCCAGGCTGGAGTGCAATGGCGCGATCCTGGCTCACTGCCACCTCGGCCTCCTAGGTTCAAGTGATTCTCCTGCCTCAGCCTCCCGAGAAGCTGGGACTACAGGCATGCGCCACCATGCCCAGCTAATTTTTTTGTATTTTCAGTAGAGACGAGGTTTCACCATGTTGGTTAGCTTGGTCTCAAACTCCTGACCTCAAATGATCTGCCCTCCTTGGTCTCCCAAAGTGCTAGAATTACAGGTGCGAAGCCGCTGTGCCTGCCCTAAAGGAACTTTTGATAACTGCATTAACTATCATAACCTTGTTCTGCCTACAGATTATCACAATTTAGAAACAAAGTTACTGAAGACAAAATTAAAACAGTCCACCCACTGCCCTCACCCCCCAAAATTAAAACAATTCATCATGTCAGAGTCAAGAAATATGGCAGGATTATTATTCCTTAGAATATATAACACTGAATTTTCTTTGGAGTCATCCAAGATGCTGATGAGGGAAGTAGAGAAGTGAGATTTGTGTAGATGCCCCATTTTGCAGGTGTTTTAACTGAAACAAACCTTAGTAAAGCTCTTTTATAGAAAATTCTAGCAACAGTTCTGGCCCTCCATCTATGCTTAGTCTTACTTAAGGGTCATGCTTTTTACTCTGCCAAAAGTAATGGAAGTAACTTCTGAACTTAGAATGGAAGCAGATCTGCATTTGCAAATACACATCACAGACCTCACGGACATCATTTTCCTTCACGATGTGTCTTGTAATGTAGCGAATAGAATCGAGTGCAGCTTCCATTGTGTTTCTAGAAGATTTTGGTCCACTACCACTCTCAGTTTGCTCCTTCTGAGTGAAGTACCTATCCGCATGACTTCTCATACAAAGCAGTTTGGGAAGCTTGTGAAGAAATATCTTGCGCACCCAAGGAGCCATGGCATTATGTGTTGAGGAAGAACGATGATGAATGTTGATAGCGAAGACAGTTACCATAATTGACAGTGTCACAAAAATCATGGTAAATACCAGGTACTCTCCAATCAGAGGTATGACTTTTGAAGATGAAGGTATGATCTCTTCGATAA